AAATACATACAAGTACATAGTATGTTAATGGGAAACAGCTGAAATCGGCTAAGTATTCTTCGGCGACTCCACCCTGGTCCCGGTTTGATCTCTGACAGATGGGAGAGGAGAGGAGGTAGGGTCCGATGGCACCCTGTTGAGGTTCGCCATCGCATCGATAGTTTCAACATCCCCAACCAAATCGGTGATGATCACCGAAGAACTTCCCTGGCGAGAGAAGTCCGCAACAAGCTCCCGATGTACCTCCCTCCACCACTCCAAGTCAGGGTCTTCATTCACGTCGCCTTCGAAACCCGGGATGACATCATCCGGCAAGTCCTCAGCAAGATCGTTCTCGACCAACGGGAACTCGATGCCAGCACCGTTTAATCGCTTCCGAACAGCTTTCACTGCTTCCGAGAAAAAGAAGCGAGCTAGGCCGGACGCTTGTCGGGTAAATGTTGTGGAACGCCAGAGCCGGTTGAAAAAACGACCGACGAACGCCTCCATGAAGCGCAGACCCTCGGAAGAACCCGGGAACAGCCGGTGGCCTTCCTTCACTCCCTCGGTGAAGTTAGAAGATGCCTGCTTCCCAGCCGCAAAGAGCTCGTTAGAAAGCCCTTTGGCTTTCTCCTCTAAACTCGCATTGTGTGATACCAAAGAGTCCTTCTCTGCTTGAAGGATCTTCTCCCTCTCTTGTAGCCTCCTCACCTCGGCAAACAATCCCTCTTTCGCCGACTCGGACACCGCCAGACTCTCTTTCAGACCTCGGACCTCTTTTCGGAGCTGGCCGACCTCCTTCTTTTGATTATCGTATGCCTCCCGAGAGACATCGTCCCACCCCAAAGGGCCCGAGAAGGCGATCGCGAATTGCTACACATACATGGAATTTAAGTAAAATCAGCTATGGTTAAGAAACGTAAAAGCTAATTCATGTATGCGAAATAAAACAAACCTGCGTTATGTTATGAAGAAGCAACTCGAGACGGTCACCCTTGCTCATTTGCCCGAAGTGAGCAACGTCTCGGGGAAGCGCCATAGCTCGGCAAGCAGCAATGGCGTTCTCTGCGTTCTGGCAGAGATGGAGTGCAAAGTTGGGAGGCAGAGATGACCCAGTCTGCCCCGAAGCTGACCCAGTCTGCCCAGGAGTTGATCCGACCAACCCAAGGGCTAGATCAGTCCTTCTATTTTTCGTGGTGGGCTCTTTTTCCACCTGTTCTTCGACCGAGGAAGGTGTTGAAGAAGGGACCGTAACTATGGCCGAAGATCGGCGAGGAGGCTCGGGATCCTCAACTCGTGGGCTATCTCGGGGACGCGCAGCCCCAACACTCTTCTTAGAAGGCCTTTGCCTTAGAGCCCCTTCTTCAGAGGATCGTTTCTCGGATTCAGCGGCCACATGGCGCTGAAATTCGGACGCCTGAAACTCCGGCTCCGATTCGGATGGGCGAGTCGCCGGCTTATCACCTCGGAACATCCTCTTCATCCTTAAGTCTGTTCGTTGGATCAAGGAAAATATGAAATATGGTGAGCAAGCAGACAATATACCGACAGGCATAAGGTACAATCAAATAAAGAGCAACAGCCCGAAATGAGTGACGAGCTGATACAGAAAACTAATATCATGTTTAAACCCACCTAAATCTTCTTGAGTTAAGGGATGAGTGCCGTTGTCATGAAAGTAGAAATGGCGAAGTATCGGTGGAAAGCTTGTAAGAGTCTCAGGCATACCGTAACTCGGCTGAAAATGAACAATCATTTTCAAAACCCACTCATCAATTACCAAGGGTTTTCCCCTCCGTTTGTCGGGTAAGGTTGCGAACCAAGGACACAGATAAGGGGTATCAGTGGGGTTTTACGCAAAAAAGTAGTGACCCTGCCACCCATCAGTCTTGTTGGGCGGCATTAATATTTTGAAACCCGGGCGAGCCGAGATAAAGACGTGGAAAGGACTGGAATTTTTTAAGACCATCACACTACGAAATCGAGCTGGAGTAGGGGTCACGCCCGACCAAGCGCAAAGCATGCCGAACCCAGTCATGACAACTATAGCATGAGGATGAAACTGATTGAGAGATACGTTGCACAATTGCGCAATCTCGGAAAACCAGGACGAGATGGGAAAAGAAAGACCGAAATAGAATTGTTCCGAGAACCAGGTGCTGAAACCTGAGGGTGGGTTCAAGGGACGCTGATCTCGAGAGGGTAATATTAGCTCAATGTCAGTAGGAAGACCTATGTCACAAACTAAATTGTTTAAGTCTACCTCGCTCAAAGTACTGGGCCCCCACTGGTCATCTAAATCACGCCCCCCAGACAAGGAAGGAGAGCCACTCCTCGCAGAGGACAGAGTGTCATCTCTCCCTTTTTTCTTAGGTTTTTTCAATAATTTTCCCGAAGGGGAAAAGAAGGGCCCTTCCTCCGAAGAAGAAGAGAGAGTAAGGGTAGGGTATTCATCTCCCTCTCTGGAAGGTACTCTCTGACCAAACGGGTCGGGGGAATTGGAAGACATAGGTTAAGGACAATAAAAAGCAGGGTAAAAATGGAGTACCTTTGCCGAAGAAGGAAATGAGCACGGAACGGAAAGAGCTTGGTTCTCGGAAAAGCAAAGGTCGCCGGAGGAAAATAAAGACAAGGAGAGCACAGAGGTGAAGAAGAGGAAAAAAATTTGAAAATTCACAGAAGTCAGATACTTATAAGAGAAAGAAAGGAGAAGAATTCGATCGTGACCGTCTATTCGAACGGACTAGATTCAAAATAGATCGCATCGAATCTGGCGCAAGAGGTGTCGATTGGAGTCCCTCAGTAATAACCTAGGGAAGAGGGAAAACCAATCGTAACCGTTTATCCGGACGGACGAGATTTAATGCAGATCGCCTCGAACCTAGCACGAAAAGCGTCGATTGAAATCTCCTCATGATGACCTAGGGAACCCGAATCAGCCACACGGGATGTCAGAGCAATTAATGAGAGGAAGAGGAAAGGGGGTTGCGTACGCCGACGCAAGCTCAAGTCAAAGTACGAACTAACACCTCGTACTCCGTACTTATAAAACGAAGTAAGGAAAAGACGACCCGTTTTATAAATAAGGAGTAGGGGGGAGTAGTTGATACGGGCTAGTTTGACAAGTAATAAATAAGCACAAGCCCATTAGGGCAAGCCCAGTATGATAGGCCCACAACGAAGAGCCCATGACGACTTAGCTCGCTATTATGAGCGAAGTCCCCGTATGGTGCGAACCTCGGGAACCACGTGGGAGTACCTTAACTCGCCAGCCCAATACCAAAACGGGGTAGGGCGAGCCCAGGACAATACAGGCCCAAGATACATGACTTGGGGGAAAGTAGAAACCCTAAAAAAGGAAAGCCTTGAAGGCCAAGCTTTCCTTATCTATAAATAAGAGAATCAACACACGCACACACAAGAATATACACTAATCACGGTTACATTGCATACACATTTTTTCCTCTATTCCGATCACTGACTTGATCGTCGGAGCTTTCCCGCCGGGAACCCCTCCCGGCGTTGCAGGTATCCTCACCGGAGTACGGACCCAGCTGACTTGAAGAAGAAGGAAGCCCCACGGACTAAATCAAACCCTATCAAAGGGTCATTGCTTTTATTTCAGGAGGACCAGCAGGCGGTGACTCACACAATTAAAGGCGCAACCTTGCCCAGTCGGCCCGCATGAGTCAAGAACATGTGTCTCCCTCCGCCTCTGTATATCAGATAAGAAGATCAGACACTAACATCGTCTTCAATTCATCAGACCTAGAAGGTCCAATTGAGGCTCACAACGACGCTCTAGTGATCACGGCCTCAGTGGCCAACTTTTTAGTCAAAAAGATATTGGTCGACAATGGGAGCTCGGCCGACATCATGTACACCCACGCGTTCACGCAGCTGGGGATCGACAACGCCAAATTCTGCCCCATGAGTACTCCCCTGAAAGGATTCACAGGAGAATATGTATACTCAAATGGTGAAGTAGAACTTCCCATATCACTCGGAGAGAACCCATGCCGAGTGACGTAGATGGTGAAATTACTCATAGTTAATACAACACCATCTCCATACAACACTATCTTAGGAAGACCTACGATACACGCTTTGGAGGGAGTTCCGTCCTCCTTTCACTAGAAATTGAAGTTCCCTACTCCCTATGGGATTGGAGAGGTACATGGAGATAGAATACTCTCGCGAGAATGCTACGCGAGAGCCCTATGTGAACTATCTAAGAAGCCCAAGCCATCCGGAAGGCGAAACGACACCCAAAAACCCAACAAACAAAAATGGGTCAACGCGGTCATCGAGGCCAATAGAGAAATCCTCATCAGCGTACCGGACGAGAGCATCACCTAGCAGCCGTCGAAGAGCTTAAGCTCATAGAGCTCACACCTGGAGATGATTCCAAGCTCCTACGCGTCGGATACGATTTAGATCCAGAGATGGAACATCAGCTAATCAACTTCCTGCGACACAATGGAAACGTGTTCGCTTGGAAAGCCCAAGATTTGTCGGGAATCCCCCCTAAGGTGGCTCTACATCGGCTCTACGTCGGCAAAAGTTTGAAACCGGTCAAACAAAGGAAGCGGACATTTGGTCCCGAACGCAACAAACACATCAAGGCGGAAGTTGCAAAACTTCTAGAGGCAGGTCATATCCGACCAGTTCAATATCCTGAATGGCTTTCAAACGTAGTACTTGTTCCCAAGCCCGGGGGCAAGTGGAGGCTATCCGTGGACTTCACCTACCTCAACAGAGCTTGCCCGAAGGACCCTTTTCCTTTGCATAGAATTTACCAACTCATTGACTCGACCTCGGGATGCGAGCTCCTCAGCTTCCTTGACGCGTATCAAGGATACAATCAAATCTTGCTCGCACCAGAAGATCAAGAGAGGGCAAGTTTCGTCACAGATCAAGGCATCTACTGCTACCAAGTCATGCCTTTCGGCGTAAAAAATGCGTTGGCTACTTACTAATGTCTAGTGAACACAATCTTCGCAGACCTAATCGGCATGAATATGGAAGTATACATTTACGACATACTCGTAAAAAGTATCGAGGTCTTAGACCACTTAGCCGATTTAGGTAAGTGCTTCGCCATCCTGCGAAAATATAAGATGAAACTCAACCCCCTCAAATGTTCGTTTGACGTTCGAGGAGGTGAATTCTCGGGATACATGATCTCACAGTGAGGAATCGAAGCTAATCCCACGAAAATCGAAGCCATCACCTCCATAGCTCCACCAAGATCAATCAAGATAGTCCAACAGCTTAATGGCTGTTTGGCATCTTTGAACCGATTTATTTCACGGTCGGCGGATAGAGGTCTCCCCTTCTTCAAGATTCTAAGGGGTGGAAAAAAGTTTGAGTTGGATGAAGCCTGTCAAAAAGCTTTCATCGAATTGAAGTTGTATCTTGCATCTCCACCCTTACTCACGAAACATCAGCCCAGATACACCCTCCTTCTATACTTAGCGACCTCAGCAGATGCCACCAGCGCGGTCCTCATCCGAAATGGAGAGAAAGGTCACCAGCCAATATACTACAGAAGTTGCGCCTTTCAAGGAGCTGAACAACGCTATACCACCATGGAAAAACTCGCCCTCGCCCTCATCAATGCAGCTCGGAAGCTCCGACCTTACTTCCAATCACATCAAGTGGTGGTTCTCAACTACCCCCTGAAGCAGATATTAAGGAGTCCAGAGACATCTGGGCGGTTAGCCAAATGGGCAATAGAACTGAGTGAATACGGGGTAGAATTCAAACCCCGCCCCGCCATCAAGGCACAAGTATTGGCCGATTTATTAGTAAAAATGACCTCGCCAGAAGAGAGCACCTCCCTCCCCGCTTGGTCCGTCAGCGTTGATGGATCTTCCACAACCACCTGAGGTGGCACGGGTATCGTATGAACGAACCCCAACGGAGATGAATTCGAATATGCTTAGTGATTCGAATTTACAGCCTCAATAATGTAGCTAAGTATGAAACATTGATTGCTGGAATCCGCCTCGCCCTAGCAGCCGGAGCACGTAAGCTCCTAATACAAATTGACTCTCAGCTCGTCGTTAAGCAAGTACTCGGAACCTATGAGGCCAAAGAAGACTCCATGGCCAAGTACTTAGCCCTCACGCATACTTTGTTATCCAAGTTCGAGAGCTATGAAATAAAACAAGTACCTCGCTCCAACAACATCCATGCGGACAAATTAGCTAGGCTTGGAAGCTCCATGGCAAGCATTGGGAGTCGAAAAGTTACTCTCCTCACCTCGCCTCAGCCAGAGATAGCTTCCACCGATGAAGTGCATTACAACGAGGAGGATGAGCCATGTTGGTTCACTCCTATCATAAATTATCTCAAGAATGGAGAACTTCCAACCGACATCACCCAAGCACGAAAGTTGAAAACGAGAGCCGGTTGCTTCGTAGTGGTGGGAGAAGAACTTTACAAACGAGGATTCTCATTCCCCTATCTCAAATGCCTCGACCCAACTAAAATACGTACTTCGAGAAGTACATGAAGGCATTTGCGGAAATCATTGGAGTGGTAGAACCTTGGCTCTCAAACTATTGAGAAAAGGTTACTACTGGCCAACGATGCATAAAGACGTGAAGAGATTAGTCCAGAGGTGTAAGCCTTGCCAAGAGCATGCCAACATCCCTCAGATGCTAGCGGCATTAATGCAACCCATTGACAGCCCCATCCCTTTCGCCCAATGGGGTGTGGACTTAGTCGGCCCTTTCCCGTCCGCCACCGGAGGGCGCAAGTACCTCATTGTAGCCGTGGATTACTTCACCAAATGGGTGGAGGCCGAACCCTTAGCACACATCCGAGAAGAAAAAGTCATTCAATTCCTATGGAAGAGTATCGTGTCCCGTTTCGGAATCCCACGCTCTATTATTTCAGATAATGGAACCCAATTCTGTGGCGACAAAGTCAAGAATTGGTGCCTTGGCTTAGACATCAAACAGTTCTTCACATCCGTAGCCAATCCACAAGCAAACGGCCAAATTGAGGTCACAAATCGCACCATACTCCAGCACCTCAAAACGAGGCTTGGAAGCGCCAGAGAGAAGTGGATGGAAGAATTTCCCAACGCCCTATGGGCATATCGAAAAACCCCACTAGCAGCAACCGGAGAATCCCCCTTTAATTTGGCTTTCGGAACAAAGGCTATTGCACCCGTTGAAATCGGTGAACCATCTTGGCGAGTCACCAACTATGATCCCGCAGCTAACGAAGAAGCTATGCGAGGAAGCCTCGACCTCGTAGACGAGCTACGAGAGATTGCATGCATCCGACAACACATGTACAAAATACGCATGGCCAAGGCCTATAACTCAAAGGTCCGTCCTCGATCTTTCCAAGTGGGAGACCTAGTTCTCCGAAAAGCTGAAGCCTCGCGTCCCATTAGCAAACTCGAACCCAAGTGGGAAGGACCATATAAAATAACACAAGTGTCAACACTGGAGCATATCGTCTAGAGAACCTTGACGGAATATAGGGAACCTCAAAAGGTTCTACGCCTGAGGTATACATCCACCTTACTTCAAATTTGTTTAAGTTAGCATCCACATCTTCCTCATACAAAAGTCGCTTAAAAACAAGTACCACTGCAGGCTTCGTGACCTTCCACGTCACTCGTCTTGCAAGAATGTCTCTAAACGCTCGATAAGTTCCCACTCCATAGCGAGGTGCGTAAATGTCCCACCCAAAGAGGGGGGCTATTAATATTACCTACATCAGCATTCCATAACCACCTTTCATCACCTTCTTACAGATGGAGAATCAATTACGAGGGGATGTCTGCCACACATCACTTTCCCAAAGAATGAGGATACCCCGCACTATCTCAGTACAAGGGTAACACCACCTCTACTAAGTGATATCACACGCACCTTCTCGGATAACTATACTAACCTAATAATGCCATCCCATTTGACAGGCATGATTACGCAACAAATCACCGCAACTCACGAGTTGATTTCATATCTCGGAATGTGAGAAAGAGAAACAGTCCCCATATTGGGTACGTAACCTTGTGATACACATCACCCAAACTTATGAAATTACTAAGTCTTCAGTACGAGTACTTAAAATTTTCTACCATACTTTTCAGGCATAGAGACACCAAAGACAATCGACATACCACCAGTACAGCAAGCACAGACGAGTAAAGGAAGACATGGAAGAAGAATAAATTATTATAGTCACGTAGAATAGTTTTCATTATTTCGACTCATTTGCTTTTTACAAGTGTATTTCCCTTCGCCTCACGTAGGCTTATGACAATTCGCACTTTCCATCATCGAATAAATCAAGTTTTGCTTTACTCACAATGTAATTATTTCTATACTACTTAACAGTTACGACGTGTTCATATCATTACAACCCTACGAACACTTATAGAAATTAAGATAATCTATATAGCCTGGCCAGCTGGACTATCTGAGTCTCTCTATGTTGTTTTACTGGGTCCTACTTTTAAAACGAGGCCACGGTCCTAACATACTTACGACCCATGAGGTCCAAACAAAGGGCACGACCCTTAACCAAAACCTCGGGAGACCGATCCCCTCCTCAAGTACATCGCGTATAATGCTAAATGTAAACACATATAACCAACGCATAAAACTCTTGACAATGTCAAAATAAATAAATCAAAATATCAAAAGGGGTTAACTATCCTAACAAACTATCATATAACTCTAAGCTTCCCCACCACGAGCGGAAGACGCCCCCGTAGTAGGACCATCTGCAACCATGTCATCCACAAGCTCAGTGCCCGTCTCATTGACATCCTCCATCTCCTCTCCTTCATCGGTAATATCGGGCTCCATTTCTCGAATGACCCTCTCACTGATCCCACCCACCTCACGAAGGTATTTGCGACAGGTCCGAACTAATGGCTTATAGACTACAGCCAAAGCGCGTTCGTCAATCATAGCACGACAATTTGCACTACCTCGGAAGCTATGTTTGGTTTCCTCCACGATGGACTCCTGATACGCGTTTTCCTCACGTATAAATTACTGCAATTATACAGTATCGCATTTTGCAGAACAGTGGTTCCGGATATCGATCCACAGGGACCTTGTAGATTCACATGCTGAATAGTGTAATTATATTATCGTTATATTATCTAGCCGATTGTAAATATTGGAATGGTGAGAAACGCTAATTTAAAAGCATGCAAGATCGTAAACATGCAATATAGAATGTACATAAATAAAATAGCGACAACTCAACACGGGAGGGCTTTGGTTTAAACGGGACTTCTAGGGCCAAATCCACCTATGTATAATCAACAACGATCTACAAATCCGTTATCTAACGCCACATTCCTATTCGTTAACCCAGACGCTAAAGTACACTAACCCCCGTCTCTAGTGTAGTTAGAGTCTACCCACAGGTAAGACGTCTCCGTTCAGAACCTGCTATTAAGAGAGCATTTAGACCAAGTCCTTAAGGGCTACCCGAAGTGCATCACGTCTCCGTTTCCATACCCCGAGCTATGTTTTCCTAACTTCAAACAAGAAATCCTCTCTCGAGTTCATTCCTATTTAATATCAATCCGAGAGCTGATCAAACAAATCAGAAGCATTTAATACAGGAAAACATAAACGAAATCGAAACACGACAAATAGATAACAAAAATGAAGATCGAAATCAATATATACAAGGTTTCATTACCCTAGAAGAAAATGTTCTTAGTTCATAACAAACATAATGTCAAAAGAATGTACACAAGAAATAAAGAACAAAACGTAAAGAAATTGCGTTTGAAAAACCAAAGTCCAAACCCCCGTTGATGATTCCCGCGAAGAACTGTCGAAAACCGTAAAAAGTCGAAGAAGAAATGAAGAATGAAAGGGCCTTTCTATTTATAGTAAAATGCAAAGCTTCCTCAAGAAGGTTTGCAACAAAATATCTTTCTCAGAAGGCGTGCCCAGATTGCGATCTGGGTTGTTTGGATTGCGATCTGGCAGCCTCGGGGAACTGCCCACCGCCATGCCAGATCGCGATCCAGAAGTGTGTATCGCGATCTGGGTCTTTAACAATTCATCACTGTGAGACCCCCCAGATCGCGATACGGATTGCTGGATCGCGATCTGGCTCTGGAGCAAAAAGTCTTCTGTGAACACCCCCAGATCGCGATCCAGGATGGCAGATTGCAATCTGGGTCTTCTCGGCCCCAAAATTGGCTTGAAATTCGGTTGCGCTTTCAAATTTCTTCGACTCGGCAAAAATATCGAATAAAACCTAGAAAAAGAAATAAAACAAGAAACGCAATAATATATACAAATAAAGCCGAAACTCGGACGAACGAAGACCAAAACTCGAAGATTTGATAACCAAAATTCGTGCAAAACGAACACTTATCAACTTCGTATAAGCAGCACCCCCGACATAGCGAGAAACCTCTTTCTCGTCGTTTTCTCGACCTCATACTTCGCTTTCAGCTGATCATAACACTTGTCCAATTTCTCAGCATCATCCTTATAGCCTTCGCCTCACCTCGACTAACCTCAAGCTGCGTCGTCCTCTGAGCAAGCTGCTCCGTCCTTTGAGCGAGATCGGACTGCGCTATCTCCAACTGGCTTCGAAGTTCATCTTCACGCGCCTGACTTCGAGCCCGCTCCTCTTCTTTTCTAGCTTCCGCTTTCCCATCTTGCTCCATGAGGTACCTCCAAGTAGCTAGCGCCTATATAAATACAACAAAAATCGCTTACACAAGCAAAAAAGGGAAATAAGAATAAAATCTAGTTTTAAAACAAACACTCACCCGTCATAAGTCTCCGCCAATAACCCTTACCAGACATTCGAGCACGATCATAGTACCGAAGGAAACCCTCGGTACTCACCATCGCCAAACCATGGTCCGACACATCGCAATAGGATTCTTTCCCCTCACGATTCACCCCAGAGGTAAACAACTGATTCCCTGCCCCACCATGGAAAGCATAAGGGACCTCTGGGTCTACCCGGGGACGCTTTGGCGCAGCTACGTACTCGGTATCCACTGTCTTCCCCTTTCCACGGTCTATCATAGGTTCACGCACTTCCAATTCACCAGCATAGCTACGATCGTCTTCACTTACTCGAGGAGTCTCAACACGAACCCTCTCTCGAGGCAGGCTTCCCGAAGAACCTCCCAAATTCGAGGGAGCCTTCTTCAATAATTTCTTCGAAGTCCCATTCGCCTTAGCTCGAAGCGCCACAAAGTCAATACAATCATCTACAAAAATAGAGACAAAAGATAAATAAAACCGAAGAACAGCACATCAACCAAAAAAAAAACAAAAGAATTTCGATAAAACAAAAGGATATGCGGCGCTAACCATCCGAGATCAAACGCTTCGAATCAAATTCCACATCACACAACCTAGATTCTCTGATCCTTATGGCCATATTCTCAGTAATTCTAAAATTCTCACACGTGGGGTTCTACATTAAGGGGACGTCAAAATAGGGAGCCCTCACATAAAAGAAACGGGACTTCCAATCCCCCAATGACAA